GACTTGAGAAGTTCTCAGTGTGGAAGAAGACATTACCACCCACACCTCCAGGGTGGCTCTATTAGACTCTTGGTTCCCTGATTTATGATTTAGTGGTACATTGTTTAGACCCAAGAGAGAACCCATTACCACAGTTACTATAGTTGTTTTTGGGGTTTAGGATTGACTGGAGCAGGGACAGGGATTTCTTTGTTTTGTTAAGATCAAAGCTATGATCAGTTCTGTACTTCTATAGATTTAGATTTAGAATGAATGGAATCTGCTATATTGCATTTGTGAAATTTATTACCATCTTTAGCTCAAATAGTGCTAAAGAATAGAATAGTGCTAATAGAATAGAAGAGGCTTATACTTTTTACTTCTCCAACAGAGGGAGTTGTGTACTACCCTTTAAAAAGAGTGTTGCTTTTATACCAACCATTCAGGCATTGTTAAGTCTCTTATCTCTTGGGTTCATGCTGTTCAACAGACTGATGGCTTTTGTATGACAACAGATAGAAGCTATTAAAATGAAACCCATACAAGTCTGTTATTACAGGCTAGAAGTAGGGGACTCTAAAACCTCTGTCATCAAGACTAATGAGGATTAACCCCTAACTTACTCTCTAAGCCAGATTGTCAATAACGGGTAAGAGAACACCTCAAGACCCTTGCCCCTAACTGGGAGGTCTCACCATCCTAAGACAGGAGCTCAACCAATGGCTGTTGAGTGTGGGGCAGTAGGCTATGAGAAAAGCCAGAAAGCTTGGTAGAAAGACCTGAAGCTCCGGAAACCTTGGTCTGAAGAAGACCAGTAGGACAGAAGGTTGCTTCAAACTTTCCCAAGGCCATATATGGCTTTCTTAACTTCCGCTTCCCACAGCCCCTCCCATGGAGAGGTCCATGGCCTTTATCATGTAGGAATAACACCTCCATGCAAATAAGGCATCCCCAAGCTCTCAAACCAAACCAATAGAAGTTACCTGTTCTCCCCCCAAAACTGTATATATATCCCCAGAGCTCAAAGTAAAGTTTGCTGTGTGGTGTGAGACCTCCCGGTGTCGGAGTACTTTTCGTGATTCCTCGCCAGTCCCGGCTATCCTGTGCACTTCAAAGGACAACAACTCTCCTCTCCTCCCTGCGGGCAGAGTGAACCGAAAGCCAAAAGAGCTGTAACACTTTTCTTCCGTGGGCATTCCCGAGCTGCCCCCAGAAAGAGGGAACCACACTCGCCCGCATTTGGAGGCTGGGACAGAGGCCCTGCTCTGCGCGACTGAAAAGTGCACTGTGCCCCAGCTCACAGCCGCGCACTCCCTCTTCACCGCCTCTCCCGGCCAGTGACTGTCACAGCCGCTGCCGCCACCACCACCTCTGGGGGCTGCGAGCCGAGTGGAGGCCGCCTCGGAGCATGAGCCCCGCCATCCCGCTGGCTGCCAAAGGTTTAGCTGGCCATTAGGGGTGGGCTTTGAGGGTTATAACCTGGTTGCTTCCAGCCTAAGCTCTTTGTTTTTTGTTTGAAGACTGGGTGTGACAAACTGTTTCATGTTCCAGCTTGCACAACCAGGAACCAGGTCAGTGACATGCATTCCCTGAAACCATGAACCAAAAGAAATGCTTCCTCTCTTAAGTTGCTCCTATCTGATAGCTGGTCACAGAGATGAAAAACTTAACAGACACATATGCTTTTGAGTGTAGCTTTATTGATGAGTAGTTCACATAACAACAAGCTATAATGTACATATTTTTTATGGTCAGGAAAAATTACAACTAGCTTTCTTTCTAAAATAGCATTTTCCTGCCCCTAAATGATCATTACAAAGAAAATTTAAATGGGAAATTTCAATGGGAAAGCTCATGAAGAGAAAGAAATTTAACTGAGGATTTCTTGTGTAGATTATGTGACCCAAATGTATCAGTCATTGTCTTCTCCACTCTGCTGAGGACATCACAGTGAGGGCACGAACACCAAGTTAGTGTCTTTCTCAGAACTGTTTCTAGAAAAATCTAGAAAGATTTTTCACCTACCATGTTCAAGTTATACAAAAAGACAAATGTATTTAACAGACTAGTTCTGAAATTAGCATTTTATCTTAGTAATACCCAGTTAGTCTGCATCATGAATTAAAGCAGCCTGACCTTTTGAACTTGTAGTTGAAAAGACGAAACTTCTTTGGGATTGTTTTCAATCTTCTTAAAGGTGTTGGTATATTTATCAATTTGTAGAGTGTTATGAACTATACTTCTTGGACATGGAAATATTTGTAAGTGGGTAAATGGAAATGAGTTACAACAGCATAGGCAAGGTTCTATTTAAAAGGATGATATAGAAAAGTAACAATTCAAAAAAAGTCCTCTGCCAGCTGGGCGGTGGTGGCACACGCCTTTAATCCCAGCCCTTGGGAGGCAGAGACAGGCAGATTTCTGAGTTCGAGGCCAGCCTGGTCTACCTAGTGAGTTCCAGGACAGCCAGGGCTATACAGAGAAATCCTGTCTCGAAAAACCAAAAAAAAAAAAAAGTCCTCTGCCCCCACCCCACAAATGCTGTAAAATTATGGCCAAACTAATAGGTTAGCATAATTACCAAAAAAATGTCATTAGATGGAATTTTTACTACCATAGTGTTTCCAGGCCTATTTAAGGTAACTTTAAAGAAAGTGTGACAGTTTGATGTCTGGCCTGACCATGTCTGTGCTAATAGAACTCTAGCATGATGAACATCCCTAAAACTTTCCAGTCGTTCTTCAAGTAACCTGGCAAGGACCAGCCCCACCAAGTACACAGTATAAGAAGCATTCTCTGCGTGCCCATGGCAAGGGCATCAAGGCTTGAAGGATAACAGCCACAGTGAGCAAACTATACTAATTTTCTGCTGCAGAGAGTTAAAATTATGAAGAAGATTGTGCAGAGGCTTTAGTGAATGAGCCCAACTGCAGATCAAAGAGAACCTGTCTGGGAGGAGACCGGAGTGCTGTGAAAGGGCAAATTACCCAGTTAGTCCGAAGTCACTTTTGTTATGAAGACAATAAGCCATGAAGTTATTATTCACTGCAAACAAAAAAAAATAAGTTTCACTCCTTATGATAAAACTATGCTACCATCACCTGTGCAAGCGAAGTTAACATTGAATGGCTGAGTCCAAATTATATTTTAATTTTCTTTAATACTAAATGAATGTATTCATAGAAGTTTAAGTGCACACACAACTGTATTCTACAGTAATGCGTAGAAAGCAAATGACGTGTAGACAAACTTCACTGGTCACATGTAAAGGAGAACAATCACATTAAAATAAATAAAACTTACAAGTTATCAGATATAAACCAACATGGCCACAGGTTGAATCATCTGAACAGCAGGCTTGGCTGTTACCTGATCTTTAACTTCATTCCCGCAGGCTTTTGGAAGACTGGGCTGCAAGAAAGTGGTGTTTTTGACTGTTACATAAATTCAGCCAAGTCCACTAATACATCTTTTTCCTTGCCAATCTTAAATTGAGTTTAGCAACTTTAACACTTGGTTCTCGGGAAATGAATAAACTTCACAGCTGGAAGAGGGGATCATAAATCTGGAAGAGGTAAGGGGCATGTTAGCAGAATGGGGTGAAGGTCTCACCTCTGTAGATCCTCTGTAGATCTCTGTAGATTTGGAGGTTCATTAATATTCTTCCCAAAACCTGTGTACTGATGGTTCTGGCCATACGGGACTTCTGAGATTTTCACTTCATAAAATATGCTAGCATATTCAACAACTGAATTAAATGTCAGAAAGAAAATCTATCTTATTTGTTTTCAGAACCTTTGGAATGACAGGAAGTTAAAGTTGGTATCATCCAAGTCATAGCTCCGCTAGCACTTTCACTGCGTGCTCTTCCTTTATTACATTACCTGTTTTCTGGGTGGGATGTGCACACAGTCATGTGGAGGTCAGAGGACAACAGTCGGGAGTCAGCCCTCTCTTTCCACTGTGTAGTTTGCTGCACTCATGATGGCAGGCTCGAGGGCAGGCACCTTTACCTAGTAAGCCAGCCCAAGCTGATTTTCCAGTGACTTGTTTAACACAAACCATTGGTATAGTCAGAAGAGAAGGTGATCTCTGGGCCTGTGGAGTGTGTGATCCAGTGAGAAAAGTCCACTGGTTTATATAGGGGCAGACTCAAGCCTGAGTTTATCTGTGTCAAGAGACTGACTCACAGTTCAGATCACAGGCAGAACTCCCAAATCAGTGCTGAAAACGCAGCTTCCCAGGCTGCCTGACTATCCAGGCTCGGAAAGGAGACAGAGTGGATATGGTGTTTCCAGGAGAAAGTGATGAACCCAGGTAGCCAGTAACTCCTGAGCCCTGTTCATACTGGCCTGTATGGTTAGATCTTAATATTGACTAAGCTTTTGAAAGGTGATCATACCATGTTTCATAAAGAAAAACATTTCTAACATTTCATATACATTTTCTATCTGGAAAAAATAAGTACAGATAAAAGTTACTCCAACAATCTTCACACACACACAATAATCTTATATCTTCTAATTGAAATGGCCAACTCACAGTACATGCTGGCTTTCACAAAAATTGAATATAAACACATTTTATTTATTTTTTTGAGACAGGGTCTAACTACGTAGCCCTGGCTAGCCCCAGACTCTCTATGTAGGGCACACTGGCCTTGAAATCATAGAGATCTGCCTGTCTTTGCATCTTGGAATGCTGGGACTATAGGCACACCACCATGGCTGTTCCATAATTTACTTCCTAAAACTAAAAGGGTTGTATTCACATCAGCTGTTTAGTTTGTAACAGATACACTACAGACAATATATGCATTGTTTGAGTGTGTATAGCTTTCTGTGTGTCTTTCATTTCTTCTAATAGCTTCTCCTTACTATGTAGCATTGACACAATGACTAAATAAGCTATATATTTTTCTAGAGGGCTGAGTATTCTTTTCCACATTTATTTATACAGATTTTGATATTCAACTACAGGTTTCAATGTAAACTTTCAGAAACAGAGTTTGTTAGGCCCAATGCAATAAATACAATTATTTCACAGTCTTTAAAAATAGTAGATACCCCTCTGGCAGAGCCCACCAGACAGCCTAGGGCTGTGAGGACGTTGGAACGTTGTTATGGTTTGCCTTTTCTCCAGAGACAGAATGCTTCAGAAACTGACCAGTTGCACCAATATACAGTCTTGATCGCATGGGCCACTTCTGAAAAGAGAGTACTTAGTAAGAATCTGAAAGCTAGTACCTGTGACAGACAATGAAGGTAGATAATACTTAAATGTTAAGACACATTAATGCTAGTGAGATTTATTTAGCTAGTAAGGATTAAAATTATGAAGTCTGTGGGACAACATGAAGACTGTTTAGCAATACTAGCGATACAAGTGAAGGCTTTGATTATAAGTGTAAAAATAACATACTTGAGTGTTTGACAAGAGAAAGTCTACATCTGTATTTTAATGCCAAGCTAAACCTAAAATAAAATTAAGTTTAAAACATTAGTTCTGAAGTAGCAGTGCTCAGTTATATACACAGTAGACATCGGCTAAAAGCGGCATTAAAAAGACAATCAGATGGCCCGAACAGCAACGGCAGGCAAGTCCACAAAGCAGCCTGGACTTGAGTCTGGGTTTTCTGTCTCATGGTGGGTGACTATAGATAATGATAATGTTCTTAATGTTTTCTAATATGCATGAATAAACAATGTTTGAACATTTACAACACAAATGGCCACAGTCCACAGGGACAGACGTGATCACTCAGATTGGAGTGTGGCTGCAATTGTTCAGGGCGGCATCATTTGAACATCAATGTGTACACACTGAGGCACAGTATTGTATCTCACAAATGGGGGACATTTTCATATGTCAGAGAAAACAGAAGAAATCAGAATAAAAATGTTAGTCAGTGGGTGTGTGATGTTCCCTGGAAAGCCACTCTTTGTGGCAGCCAACAAAAGTCCTACTTTAAAGTCTCCAGATGTGATCAGGGAGAACAGCTCTGACTCTCCCTCCCCACTAAGGCGTGTTTCTTCTATTTTCAGCTTGTTTTAAATCATATGTGTCATACATTCCTAGGCTTGAATATGAAGCAGTAAACATTATGGCATCTCCTTGTGCACGTATGCATTGTTATGCTTTGTTCTCTATTTTAAGGTATATTTCAAATGATGTTGTTTTGTTTAAATGTATAAAAAATAGCAATTAACCAGAACTGAGCCTGAACTGAAGATCTTTAAAAATGCTCTCTTGCACTAATTAACTGAACCCCAAACAACAAGAGCCCACTATTTTAAAATTCTTGTTTATCATCGTTATGGACAATGACTCTCATGGGGTTTGGCAATTAAGACAGTCATCTGTACCATTTAGGCCCCTAGTACTGACTGAAACTGCCAATTTCCCAAGTGAAAAAATAGATTCAGGCCATGTTGCAGAAGTTCAGTTCTTAAATCCTCTTCTTCCAGTTAAATGAGCAGAAGCCGGGACCTTGAAAATTCCAAACATGGGCTTCAGCCCTGACTATACCTCCCTCCACATCTGTGAGACTCTCAAGTCCTCAGTCACTCTAACATGCTCAGAATACTGGTAAGAAGACCTGACGTTTCAAAGTGACAGAACTGGAATATTTGTTAAAACATTGTTAGTAATTTGTGTAGCACTTAGTAACACTTTGTATTATAAGAATAGTAACTTTAAGGGCTATCTATGGAAGTTTATAATGAGGCTTTACTTATTCAAAGTAAAATGATCAGAACATTTTTATTACCTTTGTATTAAAGATAGACTTAATATTTAAACATTTTGACAGTGTTCATAAAATGTAGGTAGACAATTTCAACAAAGTCAAGTTTCTGTTTTCAGAAACTCCACAGCTGGTGGTTTAGACTATTTTTCTTAATCAATATAATATTCCTCTTTATAGTACTCTACTACAATTTATCTTATTTTAAGCTCCATATTGTATTCATTTAGGGAAGGGATTGAGTCTTACAGTTGTATTCCCTGTCCTAAAGCAAAGGTTTCTACATAGTATTAATTAAAATTTTGATTTTAAACTGCCATTTGCTAACTCTTGTCAATTTCATCTTTTATGGGATAATCGTTAGCCTTCTATAATTATCTCCAAGTTTAGAAATTTAGATATCATGGGCACTGTCTTTTAAAATCAGACAGAAAATTAGATTGATTTTCCTTAAAACAGTTCTGACAATAAGAACCTTTGGCACCAGAGTCAAGTGCAGTGCTGGCTTGTTATGCCCATTTCTAATGCCAGTGTTTCTAGCATTTCACAATCAAGAAAGCCTCATGTGACACTGAGGTGAAAGACTTAACCTCTTTCTAAATTTTATCAACTGTGAGGAAGGTATTTAACTTCTGCTTGTGGTATTGAAATCTTAATGTTCAAATAGACTTTCTTAGAATATATGACAAATATCAAGTCAAGGATGACTATTAATGGGATATTTGGCTCCTGTTAATTTAATGCTCGCTGTAATACAAAACTCTTAATTGTAATGAGTGACTTTCCAGCTAGTACATCATGAAACTCGGGGATGGAACGAGTTCCATTATTAGTATAAATAATATTTCACATTTTCACATTTAACATTTGAACTGTTTTAAGTCTACCACCATGTTAATAATATTTTCAAAGTAAGTTTTGTTAAAATGCACTCTATAATTTTAAGCACAAATAAAGTTAGAGGGTGTGTTTCATTACATTTCAACAAAATGTAATTCCTCATTTTTGTTCATTTTTAATCTATTCAACACTTAGATACTTAAGATTAAGTTCTAATTGTGTGTATTTGTGTTCAAATACTTCAGAATAGTGTGACACAAATGTGAACACTTAAATTTAGAAAATACAGAGACTCTTCATTTTGAAGAGAAAGTTCAATGGAAGATTCCAAAAGAAATCTAGAAGATGATGCAGAGACCACTGAACTACAGGTAAAAATGAAGTCGTATGTCACACTCATGACCACTTCACATACATGTAAAGAAATCATGCAAAATAGCTTCTCTTGGCTAATTTGAATACAGATCAATTCACTCAACATACATGCCAATCTAATATGACAGTTACAGGAAACAATATGGGTTTTTTCTAACATTCTTGATAGCTGTGTAGTTCACAAGATTTAACTGTGATTGAAATTTTACTCTATGGGGATGCAGAATGCTCTCATTTGGATTTGGCAGTTTTAAATTTTTTTAATAATTATTTTAGGGGACAGCCAGGGCTACACAGAGAAACGCTGTCTCAAAAAAAAAAACAAAAAAAAACATTATAAAAAAATAATTATTATTTTAGGGGCCAAGAATTAGTGCCATGATTCCGTTTAATTCATGAAGCCTTTGGAATAGCTCAAGAAAAAGACATTAGGAATGTAATTACTTAAGTTAAAGACACTTGACACTCGAAGGCATGAATGTAACTTAGTTGATACCAAGTTGTCAGAAGGTACAACAGCTTCCCCATTTTTCACCTTGAAAGACCGAAAATATTTACGGAGCTAGAGAGACCTGTATGCAAGTCCGACTAGAATTAAACGCTCCAGCCTCCGGATTGCAAACTGTTAAGAAGCAGCCTCTTGTAGTAGGGACCTTGTCACCATCGCCCGCGGGCCCAGGCGGCTGGGAGGAATGCCAGCTCCGTGGTATCTGCTCAGACGCTGACAGTGTGGCTCGAGGGCTCCCAGGCCAGAAGGGTTGCCTACCTTAACTGGGTGCAGATAGCCGTCACCTCGCAAGGCGCCCAGACTGGGGTCTCCCGGAGCTTCGGTGTCGTCCTGCAGGCTGCGGGTGAGGTGGGCGATGTAGGTGGTGGCCAGCAGCAGCACGTCCAGCTTGGACAGCTTGGTGTCCGGCGGCACCGACGGCAGCGTGCGCTGCAGCTCCAGGAAGGCGTGCCGCAGAGTTTGCACCCGGCTGCGCTCCCGCGCGGCGTTAGCAGCGGCTGGACGGCCACCCCCGGAGCGCGCCGCGACCGCGCCGGAGCTTACTGGCCCGGCCCCGGTCCGTCCGGGGCTCGAGTCGCGGGCAGCGGTGGCGGTGGCGGCGGCCAGCAGGGGGGACTCTGATCTGCGTGGGCTGCTGGCGGGACGGCCGCGCTCCATGGCGGCTCCAGTTCCCGCGGCGTGCACTGTAAAGAAGAGGGGCGGCGGTGAAACAGGGCGACGCGGGCTTGCCCTCGAGTCCCCGGGTGCTGGGCTGCTCGAGAAGGCGCACAGGGCTCAGCCTCCGGTCCCCGCAGAGACACCCGCCCGCTCAGGGAAACGGTGCTGCGGGACCTCGGCCTCACCTCGGACTTGGGTCACCTCACCTTTCCCCGCAGCAGCCGTGCGGGGCTCGGCTGAGCAAGGCTAGGCAGCCAGGGGCGTCGAGCCGGTCACTCCATCCCCGTCCAACCTCTGCGCCTCCTTTTATGTGGTCGTCCGAAGCCAGCAAGTGGGAGCCAACAAAGCCACGTCGGGGCGAGAGGGTCGCCCACCCGAGCCCGTAGGTTAGAGGCAGCCTCGTCCCGGAGCAGCCCCCTCCGCGGACAGACTCATCAATCAAACCACCTGGGGGCGGGGCGGACGCCTGGCTCCGCCCCTCTGGCCCGAAGGTTGAGAATACTTTAACTCGGCCGCGGTGTTGCGAAACCCAGCGGTTTAGGGCAGCGGGACTTTAAGCAGAGACGTCGAGTGTGCGTCCCCGCCCGCCTTTAATTCCACAAGGTAAAGATTCTTGCAGTAGAACCCTTTCCTCAGTACACCGTGTCCTAGAGACCCGCCGCCGCCGCCGCAGCCTTCCAGCCTTGGCACCCGCTCGCCCACAGGCTCAGGCTGGCCCTGGCGGCGGCGGGACTCAGCGCTGCAGCTCGCGCCGGCCTTCCTCGTGGCGGACGCGGTCCTCACCGCAGCCCAGCCAGACTCTCTGAACCGGGTTAGGAAGCAGTGTGCTTTCCTCTTTGAAGGCTCTGAGTATCAGATATAAAATGTCACAGAGGACCCGGCTCGTTTATAGAGTCTCGAACATTTCGCTGCAGATTTCTCTAACTTTCCACGTCGGGAATACCAAGCAGTCAGATAGCAACTCAAGACTTATTATACCGCGATGGACCAGAACGTGGACTTGTTAGTGAATCGGGGTGATTCTAAGACTGTAATGGGCTTTCGGCTTTAGAAAGCACACTCAGATTTCCTGGATTCAAGAAGGACTCGTATTGAATAAGAAACCACATTTTATTTCCTGGTAAACTTTATTTAACAGCTAATAAAGTAAATAGATCCCAGAATTCACACACGTAAAGCAAAGTCTCAGATTCTATAAAGAAACAAATCAAACAACTTACACACCGAGATATACGAAGTCTACAAACCCTCAAAACATGCTGTTGCCTAGTTCTATGAAGAAATCAAATCACTCGAGGTTGAATTTACTCCTTTTTCTCAGACAAATTTTCCTTTACTTTTGGGTTTTGGAGAAGGTGAGGTTCATGTATATCGTTTTTTGTTAGCAAGCTTTCCGATTCCTTCAAGGACAGATTCCTGTAGTACAAACAAAACAAACAGAAACAACACACCAGCACTTAATTAACTTGGCATGCAGAAAAGATGATAAAGTACCCAGGACGTACTAACTGTGGGAAAGGCTCCTAACTAGCTAGGCTTCACTGCTTTGAGGGGTACGCAGACATAAGGAGGTTAGGTGGGCTGTGGCTGTGCAGGGGTGCCTGGAGTTCCTTTAGTGCCTGGGCACATCACTCTAGCTAGCCTGTTGCACTCCTGCTGCCTGTGTGTGCCGAGGACAGCACTCGTTGGCAGCCGAGCTTGTGTTGCCCAACAGTTTGTGAGAAGAAGAGACCACGGAGCCTCTCCTTTTTAGTCCTATCTTTGCTATTCTAGGCAGACTGATTCTAAGTCCAAATTCCTGCAAGAGACTTTTATAGTTAAATTTCAGTCACTTTAAAAATATAGATAATTGTAAAACTTCACTATTTTATAATTAACTATTTCATAGGTAACAGGTACGATATGGCACTTTTCACGTACTTTATGGGTACATTCTCATTTTGCCTTTACAAAAACTGAGGATGGGGTTCCCAGGGATTGGGCAACTTGTCCAGTGTTGCATACCTGCATAATGGCTAAGGCAGAGATCAAACCAAGTAGATTGTCTCTAATGTTTATAATCTTAGCCATACTATTGAGTATTTGTATTTTTGCAAAAGTTTTTGTGTCTACTATTAAGATGAATGTTTTAGATTGAATGGCGCATTGTTAGCAGTCCAAATATATGTTCATTGTGTATCTTGCTTTGAAGTTTTTAGTTGTCTAGTTTTCAAAAAGTATAACGTTAGAATGCTGTAGATTTTATTCATTGAGTGTGGTGTAAGTCTAAGAATTATTCTTAAGTCTTTTAAATATGTTGAATTATAATGTTAAGATTTGTCTTTATGACTAATGCTACAAAGCAAATATCACATAGCATAGAATAAAATGTTTAAACATTTTATATTATACATATACTTTGTATACATTTAACAATAAATTGGTTTCAAGTTATTTGTTGTTTAAATTAAGGAATAAATCATTGTTTAAATTAAGGAATAACTTTTAGCCTGGTATGGTGGCACATGTCTTTAATCCCAGCCCTTAGGAGGCAGAGGCAGACAGATCTCTGTGAGTTCCAGGCCACATATCAAGTTCCAGGATAGCCAGGGCAAAAAAAGAGATTCTGTCTATAAATAAATAAATAAACAAACAGACAAATAACTTTTATAGTTAAATTTATCCCTTTGAGTGAATAACTCAAGTTTGACAAGATGTATATGCAGTACTATAAGTACCGTGAGAATAAGGACACAGAACACCCCCATTATCTGCCACAGTTCCCTGTTTGTAGTCAACCCACCTCCAGTTCCTGGCTAGTTCTGATCTAGTTTCTATCACTATGGCCATTTTGCCAAAATATTACACAAATAGAAGCACATAGTAGGTTTCTTTTAAAGTCTAGCTACTTTTATTTAATGCTTTTGAGACCCATTCATGTTTAGTCATCAATAGTTCATTTCCTGTCAGTGCAGAATAGCATTCTTTGTGTGTGTGTGTGTGTGTGTGTGTGTAATACATATATGTTACAGGTTGTTTATTCATATCCCACTTGAGATATATGTAGTTGCCTTACATATTTAGTGATTACAATTACCACATTATAAACACCCAAGTAGAGTTTCTCTTGGGTGTAGACTTTCATTTGACTTGGGAAGTTTTCTGTGCGTGGATTGGACTGTATATTTAACTTTATAAAGCATCAATTATTGTGCTCCTCCTCATTTTTCAGTTCCTATTTTAGTGTATGAGTTCTAGGAACTCCATTTCCTTTTTTCTCTTTTTCTTTTTTTTGTTTTTTGTTTTGTTTTTTCGAGACAGGGTTTCTCTGTATAGCCCTGTCTGTCCTGGAACTCACTCTGTAGACCAGGCTGGCCTTGAACTCAGAAATCTGCCTGCCTCTGCCTCCCAAGTGCTGGGATTAAAGGCGTGCGCCACCACCGCCCGGGAACTCCCATTTCTAATCAGTATTTGGAGACTTATTTTTATTTCTTATCCATTCTAATATGTTATTGTTTTCCTCTGTGTGTGTAAAGCAGGCTAGGCATGTGTGAACAGGTACATGTGGAGGCTAGAGATTGATTTTTTGATGTTCATGTCTGTCAGTTTCTCTACACCTTTTGTGTTTGTTTTTTTATTGTTTGGGTTTTGTTTTTTGTTTGTTTAAAATTTTGAGCCAGAGTTCCTCACTGAGCCTAGATCTCACCAATTTGCCTAGGATGGCTGACAGTGAGGGTCAGGGATCCACTTGTCTCTGCCCCCTATGCTGTAATGGGATTCCAGGCCTGTGCTGCTTGCTCTTCTGGGCTTTATGTAGGTGCTGGGGATCCCAGCACAGGACCTCTTGCACTTTACTGACAGAGCCAGCTCTCCACTTGCTCTAATGTGTTAAAGACAAAGACTGAACCAATCTTTACTGAAGTCCGTGATTTTACAGCCTAGAGCTCTCGCTTGCCGGCAGCTCTAGTTTCTCAGGTTCATGTATACCTGCCCACACGGCTCGGGGCCTGGGGGCCTGCGGTGCTTTTAGCTGCACAGAGATATGATTGTCATTCATCTTAGTCACGTCCTCACTTTCGTGACCTGTACATTCCTGAACCTGGGAATATTCTTAGTAGAGTCATGGAGAGCTTCACAATTGGAGTCAGAATATCCTTTTATTAAAGAAGTCTAGTATTTAAAAATTGTTTGAATAATAAAGGTTTATATTTCAAAATATATGCCTTTTAAAATGGGAAGTAAAAGTTATGTTAAATTAGGTTTGTATTGGCAGCATTGAAGCCAGAATTCCCAAACACTAGCTTAGCCCGTTACAATGGAAATCTTTCTGCTGCTTTCCACTATTGTTCTTGGGGCTGTCTCCTACTCTCAAGAGACTCTGAGAATTGCAAATCAAGATGTTAGCATTCTATCTCCTTATACACACAATGCTTATTTTGCATGTGAAATTAAGTATACTGAAGGAAAGATATCAAGACAAAACTAAAGGTATTTGATTTTGCATATAAGTTTATATAAAAGCATCCTAGAGTTGTATGCCTAAAAACATTACCACAGTTCCTAAAATTTTTTTGACGCACATAGATCTGTTCTTACTGTTTAAACACAGCCTCACCAGTAGTGAACTTTAACTCACCAGTTATTTTAACTATTAGAATCTACTGTTAAAAAAAGGTTTATTTGGCCGGGCGGTGGTGGTGCACGCCTTTAATCCCAGCACTTGGGAGGCTGAGGCAGGCAGATTTCTGAGTTCGAGAGTTCGAGGCTAGTCTGGTCTACAGAGTGAGTTCCAGGACAGCCAGGACTACACAGAGAAACCTTGTCTCAAAAAAAAAAC